TTAATAATATATTAGCATTTTTGATTGATATTGTAGTAGCAATTATAGTTAATTTTATTAATAAACATAACTTACGTTCTATAAATAAAAATTTGGAGAGTTAAAATTATTATATTATAAAAATTATAATTAAATATAATATACTTCATGGAAATAACTTACTGACTAAAATACCATTAAAATTTTTTTAAAAGAAATTAGTTATCGTTATGTTTAAGTTGCAATAAAAAATTATAGATAACTTACTCCCTATGGTATTATTAATCATTAGATATTGTTTATTAAAAAGATTAATCAAAGTATTAAGATATACAAAAGTTAAATGGCTTACATTCTATGAATAAATAAAAATTAAATTAAATTTTATTTTAAAAATTAAAATATTATTTTTGACTAACGATAGAAGATTATTCTTTACCATCCAATCCTTCTAATATTTTGAAGAACATAGTTAATTAAATTATAATATTTGTTAAATACATATAATTGTTATTGTATTTACCTTCATCGTCACTCGGAACTAATTCTATAATTCAAATTTTAAATTAAATAAAAATGTGATTAACGAATTGCAGTATTATAGTTATATATATATTTAATTTCAAAAGGTTAGTTTAACTTTCATTACAATTTTCGTGGTATTGGTTAATTATTTATGTTTACCTTTATTTGATAAAATAGTGAATAAAATTGAGTAATGAATTACCTTCTATTTCTTCTAATGAGGTAACATCCGAAAATGACTCTATGAATTTGCGAAATAATTTTTTTTTTTAAAATTATCTAACCATCAAATATACTCATTTGCTAAGCTTTATTTCCGTTATTTTTGTTGGTGGAAATTTTTTTTTTGGCATTACTATTAATCTTTTACCTTTATTATCACTATCAGACATTGTTATTATTTTTAAAAGAAAGCTTTTTTTTAAATTAAAAAAAAATTTTTTTTTTTCCAACCAAACCAAAAAATTATCTTGTATAACGATAATGGTGATACATATTGTGTCAAGATATGAATATCTTACCGCAGTATTTGAGGCACAGCACTTTAATGTTACGGTAAATATTAAATTTAATCATATTGTATTTTTTGCAAGTTATTAATAATTACGAGGCGGCATGGCATGATGCATACTAAATTAAGCAAATTTCCACCTTATAGTAAAAAAATAAATTTCAAATTTAGAAAATTATTATAAGTATTGCGTCTTAGCTACATCAATAATAAAAATTCTTTTGATTTGATATTTAATTTACCTTCGGCCGCAATTGTACTTTCTGCATACTTTATATTTTAACGGATTTTTTGTATTAATAGCATGCTAAAATGTTAAAGCAAGACCTTTATTTTATGAAATTTACGTCACTCTACAGTTTAACTATTATTAAAATAGATTATTCTAGTTCTAAGGTATACTCGAAAATTATAACGTTCTCTCTGAACCAGAAAAGTAATAAACTTTCATTTCATATTTGGAAATAATATACGGAATTAACATAAATAAAGTCTCAATTTTTATATTTTTGATTAATATTAATTAATGATCTTTCGTTATTGTAGTAAAGTTCATCACCTGAAGATGGAGCTATAACACCTTAATATGCTTCCACAAGCCCCGAAATTGTTGAAAATACCGTAATCAATATTTCGAACCATTTGGTAAAATTGGAAAGAAATCTGCGGCAGCTCAAGATGGGGAACAAGTCGAAATATGATGAAAATATACTGAAGAATTAATTAATTCTAAACTTCATTAGCTTTACATTTATTATTTGTCATTATTTAAAATTTAGAAATTTATGAATGTATAACATAAAAATCTATGTTAAGGAAAAAAAAAAATAAATAAAAGAATTGATCGGCACTGTGTTGAACTCCAAAAATTGAAAATCTTCCCTTGCATCTCATTATTTTATCATAAATTGTAAATGATTTTGCACGCTCATTTAGAAATTCTAATGTTTCACTTTCCATCCACTCTTTCATTAATATCAATTCAATTATTTTTTCTTTTTTCTCAGCCATGGTTAATATTCTCTTCTTCATTCCACTTGTTCCTGACTTTCTCATACCAATAACGATAAACTTCTAAGCGAAAGTATTTCAAACTAAATCGAACGCAATTTATGGTGTACGTTTTTTTTATCATGGAATTTATGCCAGATTTGAATGGTGGACATATCAACTATAAGTTGTAAAGCTTCTGAATCATTATAAAAAATATAAAAAGAAATTTTTTGTTACCCATGATTCTGGTTCCCTAACTATTGACTTGAAATGATCGAAATTACCATACTTATTTTCATAAAAGTATTAGTGGGATTTCTATTTTTTTTAAAGATGATGGTAGCTCTTTAATTTCTGGAATATATTCTACTGAGTATGAATTTTCTAAATTACTTTTAATATTTTCGTTCTTTGATTTGACATTAACTAGCAAAGCAACTACTAAGATTATGCGCCGTATGCTTTATATACGTTGTTGACCTGGATTTCCTTGCTTTCTCAAGTCAACAAACACTTATTTACTTTTTAATAAGTATAATTTATGCAGTATTACGCTAGTGTATTTAGTTATCGCATCAAAACCTTTATGGAGTCACGAAGAAGATTGAAAGGGTAAAATCAACAACTTTATTAATTAGGAATTTTACAAGCCTTTTTTTAAGACTTGTTATCACAAACTAGAATAGTCTAATTTAATCTTTTGAAAGAAACTTTTACGAACTTGCTATTTTCTCTATTTTTCTATATATTGAATTCCCGATCAATTTATACAAAATCGTTGTTTCAATTTATAATTAATTTAATAAATAAAACTAATATAATATATATAATAAATAAAACAAATATAATAAATTTAACAGATAAAAAGAAAGAAATAAATAACTATGTAAAACACATACACCGCAGTAGCTGCGCCAATCGTAGACAACGTGTGAATCCAATTATAAATAAAAATTGATATTTTTTTGACAATGAATATAATAAACGATATTTTTATTTTTAAAAATACAATAAAAAAAAATTAAAAAAATAATTTAATTAAATAATCAATGACTGGTAATTAATTATTCATTATTACATTTAAATTTTGTATAAATTTTTGGTATTTGGGCATGTTACAACTGAAAACTAAAGTTTTTTATTAAAATGTTCGAAATAAACTAGAATCAATTTCGAATGTCGAGAAGCTTCTACATCAAGAGGTAAATAAATATTAATCATTTAATTACTATCAACAAAGTATTTTTGTATTTTTGTGTAGTTTAATAACCCAAGTTTATATCTTTGTAATATAGAAAATAAAGATTGTACGTTTATTTAGTTTCTGTTTATATAATAATATTAGTAACTTATAACTAAACAAAATTCTATAAATGATATAGTTTCTTTGGCTGGTATGTTATTTATTCTATTATACCAATATAGTGTAATTTATAATGAGACTAAATTCTTTTTAAATAATCAGCTGGTAAGCTATTGTACCTTATTATGCACTTAATTTGATTTATGGGAAGATTTCTAGGAAATCAAGTAACGAGAATTTTTAACAAATTTGATTTTTATTGCATTTCAGTTTGATTATAATGCAAGCAATAAGATTTTAATTTTAGTCAAAAAATTCACAAAACACGATCTTCCCTTATATGTAACTTATGAATCTAAATAATGATATTGATAATAGGAAGTAAGTGTTAAGTAATACTGACATTTCGTTTTTTTTATGTTGATAAATTTAACATTTTTTATAATTGATCAATTGCATTTTAGTTGGTAAGAAATTAAACATATTATTTACTGTATTTGGTTAATATTGTTTGATAAAATTTAAAAATTTAATTAAATTTTTAATTCGTACAGTTAGTAAGTAAGATTCCATCTTTCCATTAATGTTAATTGTTTATAAAATTTTTAACTTTAATTAACTTTTTTTTAAATAAAAAATATTTAGAATGTAAGTTTAATTGATTTATTAATGCAATTTGTTTGTTGTAACTTCTAATCTTAAAATTTTATTTTAATTCTTACAGTTAGTAAGGAATTTGATTCCATCAATGTTAATTGTATATAAAATACTTAACTTTAATTAATATTGTTTTTAAAAAATATTTATAATGTAAGTTTGATTAATTTCATATATCATTAATGCAATTATTTATTTATTATAACTTCTAACCTTAAAATTTTTTAAAATAATCAATTATATCAGTATTCGGTAAGTTGCTCAATCGCATACTTTAATTTTATTAACTAAATAACTAATTTTTAATTAAAATTAATAATTTTATAGTTCGTAAGTAATTATTTAATTGAAACATCACATCAATCAAAATTATTATGTAGTTAATTTATATTTATTTAAAATATAATAAATACCAATAACAATTATATAGATCGTAAGTTATAAAATTATTTATGTAATGCCATTATTGTTATTGGTGATTTAATGTGTATTAAATGCTTATTGTAAAAAAGGTTTTAAAATTAGGCATTATTTAGCGTAAAGAAACTCAGATTGGTATATTTCTATTAGTCCAGATGGAAAACTTTTAATTATGGTAATATAGTATCTTTTTATTTTTTATTGGATTATAAATAAGTTTATTTATTGTAAAATAATCTATTATTTTTAATTTTTTTTATTTATCACAGCAATTCAAAAATTTAAAATTATAGAATTTGATAATTATGAAGAAATTGATAATGCAGAATTATATGATATTGATGAAAATCTCTTTAAAGAATATATATCGCAAAAGGGACCTATAACACCCCAACATGCACCAAAAAGTAAAAAGTCCTATCCCAAATTGATGCTAGCTATATCAAATAAAGTTGAATATATGAATCAAGAAGTTATATTTGTAGCAATTTCTTGTGTAACAGAATTCGATATGTTAGTTAAGGCAGAATCAAATGAGTTAAATAATAAATTAGAACCTGTTACAATTCAAGTTGATGATAATTTATCAAAAATTAGTTTTAAACAAGACAACAATCTTTTAAATGGAAAAACCGTCATTTATAAAATGATTTTAGGTTCCACTGAAAAGGATAAAGTATTTATTAATGTTAATAACGGGAAAGTTGATGAATTTAAGGTAGAAAAAATTGGCGGGGTTGTTTCTTTTGTTCATGATAAGACTTCGTCTGAAAAAAGGACGAAGACGGATTGCTTTATATTTAACGCTGATGGAATACATGGAATACATGGACTTAGATTTAATGATAAATCTTCAGACAACTTGGAGCATTTTAATTATCCAAGAAGGCTTACAATTGAATTAAATACTTTATATAAAACCATATCTTGCATATCACGAATTAAAAATTCCGTTTTTGATCATTATTTTCATATTGAACAAATATAGAGAAGGAATTCAAGTTATGCAACTTTATGATTTAAGAACTATGCAAATTAAACAAAATTTTAATATTCATGAAGAAAAAAAAATTTTTAAACCTATATACTAATCCTATATTAGCTATTTCGAAAAATTATCAAATAATTGCTTTTTCTTCTGGATATGGAAAATTAACACTTTTTCTTATAGAAAGTGGTTTAGAAATTATCAGCAAAAACTTTGAAAAAAATACAAAAATAATTGCTTGTGAGTTTGAAAATGATGACAAATTAATGATAATTATTAAAAAATCTAAAAGCGAATATGAAGAGATGTTACTTTGGCATTTATACAATTCTTCAAAGAATAGATTTCAACCTTTCTGTGGTAATATTAAATTAGAAAAAAATGAAGAAAGTAATTCATATAATGCAAGAATTCCTGGAAAGTTTGTATTAGTAAATTCTAACGGCAAAATATTGTCAATATATGATAGTCTGTTAATAGATAATAAAGCAAAAGTGAAGAAATCTACTCTAGAATTAGAACCTTATAGTATTGTAATTTCTGCTGATAAAAGCAAAGAGGGAACACCAAATAAAATGAATGAATTGAAGTATGATAATATTCACAGAGTTTACCATCAAGATTTTTCAAAAAAAGAAGCGCAACCTCTTATACATAATAGAGAACCATGGATAAATGAAAATTTTGAAAAAATGTGGATATATCTTGATCAAAAAGAATCAATACAATTATATATCGGAAAAAATACTATACAAGTATGGCGTAAAATTATGAATAAAAAAAACAAATGCATTCTTGAATATTTTTGGGCTAATAATGATTATGAAAATAATTATGCATTGCAAGTGTTAGAATTAATTGTTTATAATAGGGGTTTTTTTATTAAAATTAAGTGGAAAGATGATCAATATACAAAAATTCAATGGCCATATGATAATAATCATGTAATTCCAGTAAAATATGCTTGTGATGCTCTTGAGTATTTAAATTATCAAAGAAATAAATTAGTTGGATACGATAATCAACATGGTAATATTTTAATTTCATTTTTTTTTTAAAAAAATAAATTTTTTTTTAATTTTAGTATTTAATAAATAATCTAGTATTTGAAGAAATCATATATAATATTTCTATTATCATCTGGAAATTTATCAAAAATTATCCAGATATTTGGAAATTAATTGATATTCGTTATAACCTTATGACAAAAATTATAATTAACGGTTCAAATACTTTAATTAAGTATATTTTATTTGGTGACGAGAAAGTAAAGCATAAATTTTTGCATTTACCAAGAATAATTCGATGGGTTGATACTGAAATAAGTTGTTCTGATTCAAAAGAAAAAATTGATATTAACAAATTAAGTGATTTGCAAATAGCTATTAGATTATGTAAACCAGGTAATTTATTTATCTTTTAAAAATTTTATAAAGTTATTTTATTTATTAATAAAATGTTTTTTAGATTTAGAGCGTAACCGAAGAATTTTAATTGTAACTTATTTACTTGAATATTATACAACAAACGCAATTGAACATCCCGGATGGTTAATTACTATTTCAAATGCATTACCAGACTTATATGTTCATAAATTAGGTTTGTTCATATTATTATTTTTTTGTTATTACATTTAATTTTTTTTTATAATAGAAAATTTAGTAAGTGAATTATTTTATAAAAGATGCATGGAAGGAATTGAAATATCTAATATCATTGAATATACTGATATTATACCCAAACGCTATCAAATTACTTTAAACACACAACAACATTTTTTGGCATTTAATCCAATATCGAATCTCATTTCAACAAGTAAAAAGAAAATTAATCTTAAAGGTTTAGGAGATAATTTGAAGTTAGGACTGAAAAAATTCTATGTAAGAATTTTTCCTAATAATTATGAAAATTATTCACCAACAGTAAAAATAGTTCCTTTGTACAAATTTACGGTTAATAATTTACCTCAAAAGATAAAAAGTAATTATGAAAGTTTATTTATTATTAATTTTTTGAGATTGATATTCATTCCTCGAAGTTATTCAATTACAAAGAATTTTTCACAACTTAGTTCACTTGTTCAAATCATTAGATTAGAAAATAATAATGATGTATTTAACAATCCTGTAATGGAAGCAGTAATTAATTACAAATGGCGACCAGCTAGAAATTATTTCCTTCAACTTTTTTTCATGTATATATTATTCGCAACTAGTTTTGCGATAATTTGTGGAACTTATGTAGCACATTTTGAAGCAACAGGATATACTTGCAAATTTCTATTATTTCAAATTATTCTTTTTTATTATTTGGGATATTATTTATTAGTTGTTGAATATAAACAGTTGGATCATTATGGTTGGAGGCATTATTTTAAATTCTTTAATTGCGTAGACTTAGTTTCCATTGTTACAGCAATAGTTATAATGTCAATTTATGTTACTCCTTCGTTTAGTATTGAAAATGCGTTTGCTAGTGCTGCAACAACACAAGAGTCAACTGTTGCAATTTCCTTTACAATGCTATTACTATGGTTTGAATTTGTAATTATCTTATATATTAATATTATAAAATTTATAAAATTTTGAATTAAAACATCTTATTAAATTTAATTAGATTTTATATCTTCGGTTATTACCAGGTAATAATTTTTTTATCATTTAAATACATTTCATTGATTTTTATACATTATAACCTTTACATCAATTAATATTTTAGAACCTGCAAAATATATCTATATTATGATGAATATCATCAAAGAGACTTGGATTTTTCTTTTATTTATGATTCTTGTAATTGCTGGATTAGCACATAGTTTTTTAATTTTATGTCAACATCCAGAATTTACAAATATTTCAGAGGTGACATCTTCTTCTACATTAATTACAGAAGGTCTAGTTAATTATCATATACAAAAAGATTTTGATAGAACTGAAAATAATCCAGCAAAGAATTATATTACTTCATTTATCTCGACATACAATTGGTTAAACGGTGAGTTTTTACAACAAGAAATATGGGATTTTTGGGCTGTGAAATTTATCACCTTTTTTGGTTGTATTCTTTTGATTACAATTCTACAAAATATGCTTATTGCTTTTATGGGGTAAGTTTTCTTTTTTTTGTATATTTTTCAATATTAGTCACTATATAATAAATCAATTTTTGTAGTGGTGTATATTCTGAGGCATATAAAAAAGGTCGTGTTGCATTATTAAGATTTCGTGCAGAATCAATTTCAGACTATGAAGCGTTAGAAAGAATACATTTCTTTCCTCAATCACCAGAACCAAAATATATTTATTATTTAGGTGAATCGAAAAGTTATAAAGAATGGGATTCAAATGCAAAAAAGCGTGAATCTGAGCAAATTACATTGTATGATACTTATGAAGAGAAATTGTTAGAAGATCAATTCCCAAGTAAGGAGAAAGAAGGTGTTGACAATGAGTCTTGGTGGGATTATAGCTTTACAGATGAAGATGGTTATAAGATGGAATCTGATGATGACGAAAATTCTGAAACTGAGAAAGACGATGAAGACATTAAAATTAAAGTTAAATTGCTTGATAACAAAGTTGATGAGCTTAATAGTAAGATTGATAAATTGCTAAGTGCTATGATTAAATAACGTTACACTTTTGTGATTTCAATCAATTTATTATTACAAATTTCATTGCCAATATTCATAAAAATTAAAGATATAATTATAACACAAAATAAATTTCAAGTATTTTTTTTTTTATTTAATATTCCAATTTATCTTGTGTGGCATAAAGAAAAGTTAAGCACAAAATTAAACGATACTTTGCTTATTTGAAAAAATAAGAAAATAAAATACAAAAAAAAAATTAAAAATAAATTAAAAAAAAAAGTTTCTTAAAAATAAACCCGAAATATACTATATCAATATAAAAAAAAAATTAATTAATTAAACAAAAATGATTAAAAAACCATTTTTAATAAAAATAAATTCGATTAGAATCGATTAATCGATTAATCGAAAATCGAATCTTATAATCAAATCTTGAGATTCGATTAACTAACTTCATTATTTACGATGATACTATTGATTGTTTAACGATTAAAGAAGATAATAAGGGTATATTATACACCTTAGGAGGATTACAAAGATTTAGATAATTACAAATACTTGACTGTAGTAATACTCAAATAACCAGCCTACCAACTTTACCAAACTCCTTAGAATATCTCTATTGTGATTCTACTCAATAACCAGCTTACTAACTTTACCCAACTCTTTAGGAACCCTCTGGTGTTTTGATATACAAATAAATAGTTTGCCAAATTTACCTGGTGTTAACTTCGAGACATGATTCGAAAATCAAAAAAAAAAATTTTTTTTAACGGAAGATCTACGCCGCCCTCCACAAAAAATCCGCCAAGTGACAAAAGTTAATTATCATTTCAAATAAAATCCTTCTCCATACGAAATCTCGTGGCAAGAAAATCAATATCAATAATTTTGAAGAATATTTGATATAAATTTAATCTTATTATTAGTAATATTTTTGTCGCCTAAAGTTCATTCAGAAAGTTCGATAGGAAATGAAGGAATGACCAAAAAAAATTATATTTTCCATCACACGTTCTTTCGTTTAACAACTCTTTTTTTATAAATGTATCGGCTTTCTTATAATTGAGTGGAGTAAATTGCCAATAGTTTAATGAGTGAAATAAAAATATTATCCATTGAAATCCTTTCGTAATACCGACAAGATCATACTTTATCCGTCATTTTATTTTTAAGTAAATTTTTTTTTTGTGAATTTAATATTAATAGTTCAATAGCAAAAAAAAAGGTTTCATTTTATAATCACAAATATATAAATTTTTGATTTTGACCTTTAGACCTTGCAATATAGTTTTGTTTGTGTAAAGTAAAGGTTTAGGAACAAATCTCACAATTTTTAGTTTGACTTAAATTTTATATAAGAAAAAATTATATTTAGTCGCGTGCTTAAAAATATCTTTTTTTTCATTTAAAGATGCTTATTGATTAGTAATGATTTTTGTTTGATTTTCATTTCATCCAAGAAAAGTGGATAAACGGTTCCAGTGATTTATGTTTTGATCATAAGTACGTTCATGCCCTAATGCATTCTGAAAAGTTCGAGAGTCGCCCATAAGAAAATGTGTCGTATTGTTTTATCACCATCAAAAAATCCCGGGTCATGTGACTTACATAATAATCTGTAACTCGCGTCACACCCACCATGTTTCATTTTTTATTATTTAATCCGCCAGCTGTTAGAAATGACGTAATTTGTTTTATCAAATCATCTATAAAATAAAAAAATCCGGTGGGCTGGTAAAATTTGGATTTCCACTGACTGCCTCTCATATAAATAAAAATCGCCATGTCGTAAAAATAAACAAATATATAAAACAGCTTTCACTGGTTTTAAACCCTGCCACAGTAAGGTAGCAAAACCGATGTTATCCACTGTCTTCGTAAGTTTAGGAAGAAAATTGTTATGAAGATCTCGCAAAGAAGTGGTTAAAGGGAACGGAACGTTAGAGCGTTTAAGACGCTGGCAAAGGAGTAGCTTTAGAAATGTTTGGTGAAAAGGAAGAAAGTCTTATTTATAAGTTGGACCATGACGAAAGAGGTACTGTATGATTTATAAAAATTACTGATAAAAAATTGGACATCCAAGTGGTATATCGCTTTTTTATTGAATGGTTATAAATAAATAACTTTTTGATTCGTTTTTAATACAATAGATTGAGATTATATTCTTTTGCAAATTCTCCTAAAGGCTTAGACATCTTATTAAATTCGTGGTCTCCATAATCTTTGCTAAGTGATGAAACAAGCGAAGAAGTTTTACCATCAAGGGATACAATTCATATGGAAAGTTGCTAGGAAAATTAGGTTCTGAGAATTTTAATAAAATCTTAATTTTTATTGCATTTCAGTTAGATTAAAATGCAATAAAATTTTACTCTTAATCAAAAAATTCTCGGAACCTGATTTTCCTATATCTTAAACTCTCGTCCCACCCAATGTTACATGAAATATTAACTCAAAGAAGAAGAATTCAATCAGATTTGGTTATTCTCTACCTCCTCACAACAAATTTTCAACTTTTAATATCACAACTGCACTCAATTTTGCAACACGTAGAAATTCGGCAGATTTTCAAAAGAATGGCGTCATCATTAACGTTAACGTGTATTTGGGCTCAAGGAATCGGAAAACAATACATTAATTGTTCGGTGCGCTGTCGATCATCGGTTGAATTTTTGATTTCCTAAAAGATGCACGATATAGCAGTTATGGAAATTATAAGGTTATTTTAAAATGACCTTGGTCATTTTGACTTGAAATTTATAATAAATATGATATAGGGGTGTTGAATATAGTTTACCAAAGATGATGCTTTATCGTATGCAATTACCTGTAAATGTGGACTAGCTTGAGATAATTTTGTGTGAATGAATCATGGATTACCGTTCAAGATGTTATTGACTTCATTCGGATTAAAAATACTTTGATGATATGGAATATTGAGCATTCTAGTCAGATGAAAACATTAAATATCTATCACTTCTGCCCATCATGTAGATGATCATACAATGTAATAATGTAGGCACTAGACAGAATTGCTTGTTCTCGCTGATGGAAGTTGTACGGAGTCGTGTGTCATTCCACTCCCACTCTTAAAATCAAACAATTTATTAGAAAGGATTAATCTGTGCGAAGACAAAACCAAGATGTGTTGAAGTTCTCAAATTAATTAAAAAGAAATTTGAGCTTACCAACCTAAAAATCTTTTACCCGGCTGTTTCTAATAAGTTGAATTTCGGCCGGGTTAATATTAACTATTTTTAACTGGTTAAAGAAAATCTTTAACATGTTAACTGAACTGTCTTCACTGGTTAAATTAACCAGTTCAATATCTATTCGGTGGACAGATACAGTATGTTATGTTGCGAGATATCTACACTTGCCCGGAAGTGATGGAAACTTGAAATTGATTTGAAATCTACTGTTGAATTTGACAACGATCACATAGCATTCTGCAATTATCAGCATGAAAGTTTTTTGGATGAAATATGTTCGCATTTTCATTGCATATCAAATCCTTAGTAAATTCGGTATCAACGAATGAAACTGATGAATGATACGAAATAAAAAAAAAATTAGTTGAAGATGGAGCTATCGCAAATTGATGCTGATTATACATTGATCATTTCTTTCGTCCTCCATGCATCTCTTGTGAGGAGTACCACTAAGTGCTCTCTACAACAAATTTTCATGAATTTTATCGATTCATCGCCACCTTTGGAATATGAAAGCAGCGTTTGTCCTTCTTAAGTTCGAGATGTTGAAAATATTGGGTTATCAGTTATTGATCTCCATGGACCATTTTTATACGGGAAAAAAAATTTCACAATCGATGATATTTTTCCATCGATCAATATCGAGGTCAAATGTTTATTTCATATCTCGTGCCTCATAATTTGCGACATGAAATGCTTATTCATAGATAACATTGACAAATCCGAAAAGAAGTTACAGCTGATCCCTAATGCGCTCCACTAGTGTACAAGGCTTGTTGTTCCAGAATCAAATTTAATGTATCACCAGACGCCCTTACCTATGGTGACGAAGCGGCCTTATACAGCTAATGCTTTCATCCATCAAAAATGGTGTTAGAGTATAGTAGCTTTAATCTGACTTTTAATTTCAATATCTTTGTCTATAATGAAGTATAATGAAGTAGATTAAGGCTATGATATTATCATTGATCATTCTAATTTGAAAGGATTTTTTGGTGAAATTGGGCGTTGGATTTTATAATGAGATAATACTTATTTTCTAAAAGAATGTTAGCCATACTTATTTAATTTTTAATTTAATTATCAGAGATGTCATCTGGATCACGGCGGAGCCGATATCAGCGATTGAAATGAAAGAAATTGTTTAAATGTATTATTATAGTAGAACAGGAAAGCACTCGCATTTGTGATTATTTGATCGTTTGCATATAATTATGAATAAAATATTTTGCTTAATCGCTTTTTCATAAGTTAATTAAGACCTTATTGAAATATTTAAATCAAATAATAAAATTTCAATAATATAACATTGGGTGAGATATACAAATTGAAATAATTCTATAATTTTTATTTTATTATAGACATTAAATATACAAATTTCTTGTTAAAAAATTAAGTCGAGTCGAATGATTGGATGAAAATGGGTTACGTAGTTGCTCATTTTCACCAATCAATGTTCTACTAATAATTGGGTGAAAGCTCTAGAAAATTTTCGCGAAATCTCAATAAGCTTTCGGACTTTAGAAACGAAATGTTATTATTATTGATCCTAAAATTAATCACGCGTATAATCAATAAGTTTCCGCCACCCATACTGTAAATATCAGACCTCCTTACTCTCGTTTCTAGGTTTTTATTTTTTACTTCATATATAAAGAACCTTTGCGTTTTTTT